CCTCATCTGGCAGTGGGTCCAAGCATCCCAGGGACTGAGAAGATCCCAGCTGTGTGCCACAGACAAATCAACCAGAGGGAGAAGGGCATATGTGAAGTTGTGCAGTGGATAAAGAGCTGCATTCCTGGTTTCTGGCTGGGGATTTGCTCCCTGCCACTGCAGTGTCATCTGGTCATCACCCTGAGCTTCTGCATCCCTTCTGGCTTAGGAAAGGTTTCAGGCTGTCACTGCAATGCCCTGAGCCTGGCACAGGTCCTGGGACAGCATGGGGAGTGGGCACGCTACATTTCCTTGAGCCCATCTCCATGGTATCTGGACTGCAGCAGTTGGAGGGCCGTGGCCTCTTTTCCCTCTGCCTCTGCTCACATGTGCACATAGGAGAAGGCAGCTGGCACTGTGCTGGCCTCAGGCGATGCTGTGCAGGAAGCTCAGCTCCCCAGTGGGCTGTTTGCAGGGGGCTCTGCTTTGCCCACCTAGAGGGGCAGGGTGGCCCCTCTTTGGTGGCTAATCGCAGGAAATAAAGGGTTTTTTTCTGACTGCTCAGTGCTGAGCACGGTCCTGCAGCCTTACTCAGTCCCCAGCAGTGGCTGTTTAGGGCTACCCACTTGCAGGAGCAGCAGCACAGTGAGGATGTGCACAGCTTCAACCCCTGCTCCCCTGCGAACAAAGGCAGCTCTGAGCCTCCCCTGTTTCTTGGCATGCTATAACAGAGCCCTTCTCTCTGGCAGCAAAAGCTCTTTCCAATCCCCAGCATGCTGCAGCCCCTTTCCCTATCTCTCTTCTTCCCCTGCCAGGGAGGCTGCAGCCCAGCCCAGCACGTGCTTGTCCCCATCCCTGTGATATGGGGATCCAGGGGACCTGGCCACAGAGCCTTGGGAGCCAAGCACGCCTGGCTGCAGCCTGCAGCAAGCAGCAGCACAGGGGGGAGCACTCCTGCCACCAGTAATTACCGGCGATGCTGCTGCTGCCACATGATTTGGGGACGTCAGCAGAGTGTGTCACTGCTGATGACACGCTGCATGTGCAGGGTCTGGGGAGGATGCCAGGGAGAAATGTTGGAGTGCTGGGACTCAGAGTTGAGCCAGCCCCACTGCCCTGACCTTCAGTGAGTCACCTGTCCCCCACGGTGTCATACAGGTGACCCAGCCCTTCCCTCCTGCACCAAAGCCCCGTGCCTCAGTTTCCCTGCAGCGCAGGGGAGGCTGCCGTGGGGCTGCGCTTCCCCCAAAGTGTGATGCTTTTTGGGGATGTGCTAGGGGGAGGCCAGGACTCAGTGTCGTTACTCACGGCGATGACAGTGCCGATGACAAGTCCCCAGCCTCCAGGAGCACGTGCTGTGCCCAAATTCCCTGTGTGGGGCTGCGTTCCCAGTGCCAAGAGGCCCAGTGAGTAATGGGGTGGGCGGCGGTGCTGGGGCTGTGTGGGAGAGGGATCTGTGCTGTTGCCAGGAGGGGACAGCGATGGGTGCCTGCTACCCCTCACTTGAGGAATGCCTGGAGGGGCTGATGTGGGTCAGGGTCTGCCGTCCCACCTGGGCTGCATCTGCCCCAGGATCTGCCTTGTGATGATGGCTATGGATTTTTCCCCATATAGTGATGCAGTGTGGACCCTGAGCCTTTCCCAGTGCAGGCACCCTTTCCCATGGTGCTGCAGAGAGCCGTGTTTGGGCTGGATGAGATAAGGATGGGGTATCGCATTACCGGAGCCAGATCCTTCTTTGAGGTTAATCAGACAAGGCAGGCAATTGCTGCCGCTTGATACAGGGAGTGTTGTGTGAGTGAGTCTATTAGTGGGCTGATTACTCATCAGCTACGTTGGAGACCTGCTAACGGGAGGAAAAAGTTGTTAACGTGACTCAGCTGACCCCACTCTGCAGAAGTTAGTGTGTCTTTTCTGAAATACCACAGGTGGATTGCTCCACGACTTGGCCACGTAGCCAGGGAGGCATGGCAGGATGCTGCTCCTTGCTTGCCAGCTGGAGTCACACGCTGGTGATGAGCCACCGGGGCCAGGAACCCAGCACTGAGCTGCCTGCCTGCTTGCTCCATCACAGGGCTGTGCATTTCTCCCTGTGCTGACAGTGATGCTGCAGGCTGGCTCAGCATTTCAGCTCCCCCGTGCCTCTGCCCCAAAGCTGTCCCTCTCTTTGGGGTATGCTCTGTTCTCCTGGTCCCCTCCCAGGGTGGGGAGGAGGTGACAGCTGGGTGATGTGGGATGCTGTGAGACACCAAGTCCCACTTTCCAAATGTGGGCCGTTGCCTCCCGGGAGATCAGATGTTGTGAGACTCGTGACTCCATCATGCAAATGCTGGGGGCTGTGAATAATCCCATACGTGTGCTTGGCGGGGGCTGCAGCAGCCCAGGTCCATGCAGGTTGTTGTGCTCCTCGAGGGATGCTGTGCTGCAGGTCAGCCTCTCTGTGACCCGTTAGGTTAATTGAGACAAGCAAGCTGGCTGTCTACGGCAGCCCATGCCCTCACTGTGCCATAGCACCAGAGCCTTATTTCATTCTTTTTATTGCCCTGTGGGAGAGGCTGAACCAGAGCCTCGCTGCTCCCAGGGCTGCCCAGCTCCATTTCCAGCCCCATCTTGTAGCTCATTCCCATTTTTTTTTTGTGCCCATTCTCAAACCTTTCTCCTCCAGTGATCCCAAGCCCAAGGATCTTGCCCAAGGTGAGATGGAGAAAGCTGCATCCCAGTGCCTCTTGGCACGTGCATTGTCATTGCATATGCTTGCAATGTCAGTACCTCTCAGAAAGGAAAGCAAATAAAACACAATGACATTGTTATCCCTCTTGTAAGGCCAACTGGTAAACGTATCACTGGGCAGTTGTTGAGTGACTCAGCCCTGCATGATCCACTTTGCTTTCCATTTCTGCTTGTGGGGCAGAGGGCTGTGATACCAAGCTCTGCTCTGTGATGATGTTTCCCCCCCCCCCCCCCGTTTTCACGACCTTTTGAGCTGGGGAATTGTGGCCATCCCCAGGCTAGTTGCATGGAAGAGCTTTCCTTTGAGATGGGAAGGTGCTGACTCTATTGGGGTGGCACCAGTTGTGCACTGGATGATTGGAGGATGGGTCCCTCCCCAGATGCAGGGTTGTGGCTGAGGGTCTGGCTGCTCCTCGCCTGCTGTCAGCTCTGCCACAGCCAACTGATGGGAAAGTACATGGAGTGCCCAGCTCATGTAAATAAACCTGGCTATAAATAGAGAGGGAGAGAAGTGTGAAAACAGTGGGGAATGGATTTTATAAAACTAGCAAATTAGTCTGGAAAAACAAGGGTGTGAACCAGCAGCCCGAGCTCCAACCCAAGTCATATTCCCAGCTCTGTGATGGATGGCGGGGCCGTGGGGCTGGGTTGTCCCCATCGATCACAGGCTCTGGGTGCATCCTGCCTTGGGCTGTTGTGTATGTATAATCAATGCCCTTCATTATGTTTATTTTCCTTTGAATTTATGGAGACGCCCCAGCTGAAGCCATCCAGAAGACCTGGATCATAATGTTGACCAAAATAGATGGTGGCACTGCAGATGGGTGGGTTGAGCAGAAGGGGTGGGGGAGCAGCAGCTCCACCAGCCTCTCCAGACCCTTTCCTGTCAGCGTGGGCATCATGGCTGTGCCAGCCTGTCCCTCCCAGGCTGCCTGTCACCTCCTGGGAAGTGCAGTGGCCCGTTTCTCTCCTCAGGAGCCGGCCAGGCTGCTTGCCCATCTGGCATCAGCAGAGGTCTGCGCAGGGAGGAGAGGTGGGCAGGGAGGAGAGCAAAGGCAGAGTGCAGAGAAATGGCACTGAGTTGTGTCTGGATGCCACGGAGTGGGCACAGAGCTGTTGTAGGGTGCTGAGAAGTGACACGGGCGGCACAGGATGGCAGGAGGATGTGACAGTGAGCAGGCAGCAAAGCTGATGCCAGTGGTGGCATTGGCACCGAGCTGGTGACACGTGTGGGATGGTGCATGCATGTGGCACCATGCTGTGGTGTCAAGTTTGTGACATAGGTGAGAGGGGCATGGCACAGGGGGCAGGTGGCTCCACTGATGGGGATGCTGATCCCATGCAGGGAGGGGTACAGACGGCAGCAGGGCCATAATTGAACCCCCATGCAGGGGGTCAGGGACAGATGGTACCACTGGCGGTGGTCAGGTTGGCACTGAGATGTGTCTGGAAGGTGGCACATCTGGGGACAGGGTGACACTGCATGGGGACAGGCAGCACAGCTGGGGACAGAGATGTGATGCTGCTCGAGGGCAGGTGCTGCATCAGGGGACAAGAAAGTGGCACTGCTCACAGGCAGGTGGTACATCTGGGGACAGAGAAGTGACATTGCTAGAGGGCAGGTGGTGAGCTCGGGGTCAGAGAAGCGGCACCACACGCCGACCGGTGGCACAGGGGGACAGAGGAGGTGACACATGTGGGAACAGAGTGGCGATACTGCTCGAGAGCAGCTGGCACATCTGGGGACGGACAGGTGACATTGCCCGGGGACAGGTGGCACCGTCTGGGGACGGGGAGATGGCACACCTGGGGACGGAAAGGTGGCACCGCGCGGGAGGCGGGCGGCACATCGCGGAGGCGGCACGGCCCGGGGACGGGCGGCTCCCGGGCCCCGCGGGGGTGACCGCGCGCGGAGGTGACCCCGGGCCGGGCCGTGCCGGCGCACCCGGCAGTGCGCATGATACTGCGGCGCGGGGCCCCGTGCGCGCCAACCCACCTTGAAACGGGCCCGGGCCGCACCGTCAGCCAATCACCGCCCACTCCGCCGGGGCGCGGCCAATGAGCGAAGGGCGGGGGCGGCACCGAGCCGCTAAAGGGCGCAGGCTAGGCTGCGCGCCGCGCCGAGCGGCGGAGGCAGGTGCAGCGCGACGGCGGCGGTGGCGGCGAGATGGGCGCAACGGCGGCGGCCGGCGGTCGGCCCTGAGCCGCTCCTCCGGCCCGGCCAGCCCCGCGGCGGCCCGGGGAACCCTGCCCCGGCCCGGCCAGCCCCGCCCCGCCCCGGCCGGGCCGCCCGGCGGGCGGAAGATGCTGCGCACCGGGGGCCGGTAGTACTATGATTTGGTATGTGGCCGCTTTGGTAGCAAGTGTGCTCGGCGCCCGCGGGCTGAGCGTGCAAGGTGAGCGGGGCCGGGGGGGCTGCGTGTGCGCGCGGCGGGGTTTGCACCGGGAGGTTGCCCCGGGGTTGGCTGGTTGCACCGAGGGTTGATGCGGGGCTTCGCGCCGAGGTTCCGCACCTCGGGGCGCGGGGAGGACGGTGCGCGCCCCTGGGGCGCTGTGCGCGCGGCTTTGCTGCGGCTCCGGCTGGGTTTTGCATCTCCTCCGGTGTCTGTGCATGGACGAGGGCAGCGTGCCGTGCTGCGGGGAGGGCTTCACTGCTTTATTTTTTATTAGTATTATTATTTTGGGTCTTCTTAATAAAAATCATTGGTAGGGAGGGCGCTGCGAGCGGAGCGTTTTTGTGGTGACCTCCCGGAGAGCAGCGGCTGCACGTCGGGACGCTGCGATCCCCCCGCGCTGCGGTGCCGCAAATTGGTGCGGGTGTGCGGCTGCGGCTCCGCTCCCAGCTTTGAAATTCTCCTCGGGAGAAGTTAATGGGGACGAGCCCTTGCTAGGGATGTGTCCCGTAGGGTTTTTTTGCGCCCCCCCTTTTTTTTTTTTTTTTCCACTCAGGGAATGCGGAGTGCCCTTCCCTGCCGGGCTGTCGCCCCGGGGGAAGGGGGGGGGGGGGGGGGCGGCTAAGGAGAAATGCGGAGGGGTTTGGTGCTTTCTCTGCACTGTGAAGTCAGTACTCCCATCTACAGGCTTTGTGGGGCGGTTTGCTCCCCGCAACCCCGGTGGTTCCTTCTCCTTCCCTGGGTGGCTGCTGCGCGCGGGTAAACTGAGGCACAGGGTTGTCCAAGGTCAGGCAGGAGACAGCTGCAGGGACTCACCCTGCTTTTCCTGCTCTGCCTTCAGCCGCCAGCCCTGCAGGGAGCAGGTGAGCCGCGAGCTGTCTGCTGATGCAGCAGCAGCTCCCGGATGGTTGGGGGATGGGGGGTGGTCCTGGGTGCCCCAGAGCCCAATTATGGGGACATGGGGGCTCCCCGAGCTTACGGTGGCACCGCTATGGGGCTGGCATCTCTGCAGCTAGTGTGAGGGGGGAGGGTCATGAGGGGTCTGTCCCTAATGGGCTGAGGCTACCCTAATCGGGAGGGGGTGGCGGGGCTGGCACGGGCGAGTGGGCTGCAGGGGTTGGCTGCTGTGCGTACGGCGAGGCGCCGACGTGATGAATGAGCGCGCTGTGAGTAATGTGTGGGTGGGCACAGCGGGCGGGGGGCGTGCAGCCCCCGCGGGGATGCAGCAGCGTGGGGATGGGGACGAGACGATGAGGAGAGAGGAGCTTTGATGGGGGATGATTGCAGTGTTCCCTGCCCGAAGCGGTGCTGGGGGTGCAGCAGCCGATGGGCAAGGAGCAGGGAGTCCCGTGGGTGGGTGGCTGTCACCCTGCATCACTCGGCGGTGGATGGGGACAGCGTTTGTTGGCGATGTGGCTGCGGGGAGGGAGCCATCAGCGTGTGGTTGGTGGCAGTGCTACATGGATTTGCCGGTGTCCTGCCAGCCCTGGGCTCTTCTGCAGGGTCTATCCATCCTGAGCTGCTGCACACAGTGCTGTGCTAACCAGGCTGGTGGTGCTCATGGGCTGAGATTTCATCCTGCACCAGATTTCAGCCCTCCCTGCCTCGCCAGCCCTCCTCCCGCTGCCACCGCCTCTTCTTCCTGCTCTTCCTCGCTCAGGGCTGACCCACAGCCCCTCACAGCCTTGCTGGCTGCAAGCAGCCCCCTGGCCTGGCGAGCCTCTCCCAGGGCTTTCCAGGCGGTAATCCGCTCAGCGAGGCTGCGTTATCCCCTCTTATGGAGAGGGGGAGGAGAGCAGGAACGTGACAGTGCCGGGGTGCGGCGGCAGTGGGTGTCGGGGGGCCCGGCCTCCCGGCGTTCCCTCGGGGCTGTGACGATGCTGGGGCTTTCCCCTCTCTCTCCCGTTGGCGTGGCGTTGCAGAGATGGCACAGCACGGCGTGTGGAGGGACTTTAGGCTCGGTTTTGGGTGAACCACCGGGATGTTGGCACTGGGGGATGCTTTTCATGGTGGTGCTGGAGCTCGGGTGCTGCATCTCTAGCGCAGGGATGATTTGGCACCTGCCATTGAGCAGCGGGTCGGTCCTGTTTCAATCCTTTCCTGGAGGATGCTCCGTTGGATGAGATGTGCGGGGATGGATGTGTGCACCGCGCTGCCCGGGTTGGTGTTGGATTTGTGCAGTGATGATTTTCTGGCTCCATTGCCGTTCCACTGGACGATGCAGCTTCTCTGATGGGAGGACCCTGCAAGCTTCCATCCCTCTGCAGAGCTGCTGCAGGACAGGTCAGCGTGAGCCTCCCGTGTTCTTCCACGCCGTGCCGTTGGCTCTTGGCACGCTCCCATCCCACAGGGATGATGGAAGCATCCCCTCTTCCTTTCTTCTCGGCAGACATCTCCCCAGCCTGCGGCTTTGGGTGCCCGGCTGGCCTTGCACGCATCGCTCCGTTCCTCCTGCTTCCTGGCATTGGTGGGAGGACTGCCTGCGCCAGGAACAGCATGATTCAGGATCTGCTGGCGGGTGGCTCGGCTGTCGGCACACAGAGTGCTTGTGCTGTAGTTGATATTAAGCTGGAGGACTGGGATGGAGAGGACCGTGAGCTGTGCAGGAGCCAGATGCAGAGCGGGTCTCCCTGGGGCTGTTTTTGCTCCAGCATCTGCTGCAGCTCAGTGCTATGAGATGGCTCCGGGTGTTGGGATGCTCTGGTGTGGGGAGATGGGCAGATGTGGCACTGGGGGTACCGTAGTGACCCCCCCCTACACCCCAATGTCCTTCATGTGTTGGGGACACCAGTGGGTGACAGCACAGTCCCACCTGTGCTGTCACCATTATGGTGTGTGGGCAGCAGTTAGATACGCTTAACATGTGCCCCCATGGGGATGGCATTGATGCCACATGGATGTCCTTTGTCCCTGTGGATGGGGCTTGAGCTGCAAACCTGCTCATCCCGAGCTGCCACCGCTGCCTCTCTGTGTGACCTTGAGGTGCGTCGCTTGACCTCCATGCAGCACAGTCCGTCCATCTGGAAAATTGGGTTTAAAACACAGGAATCATGCTGAAAGAAAACCAGATGCTGCTGTTCAGCTGGGGGAAGGGCTCCTGCCTGGGGGCAGGGACAGCAGGATGGTTCTTTTGCCTGTAATGCAGCAGGATGTCTCCATCCTTCAGGCAAAGCATCCTTCCTATAGAAGGGGTCCTGTGGGCACATCCCATGGGACATCCCAGTCTTTCGAGCCAAGCCTCATCACTGCATCCTTGTTTCTCTCCTGGAAGCCTGGATCCCAGCAAGGAACAAGGGTAGTCCCAGCCTCAGTGGGAGCCCCATGATGGCATCACCCTACGAGATGGCAGCCTTCCCACTCCCTCTGGGATGCGTTCCACTCCACCTCCACATTTTGTATTCTCGCCTCCTGGCACGCGGTGTGCCTTTATTTTTCCTGGATCTGCTCTGATGATGAAGCCTGTTGATTGTGTGCTTTTCTTTACAGAGCATCCCCAGCTCGCTGTGAGCTGCTGCATCGTGGGGGCATTTGGGGTTTGCATCCCTGCTGTGGCTCTCTCCTTTGACCCAGGTCTCAAAGCCCCAGGTTGTGTCTCGAATCCCCCCTGAACTTGGCTGGGAAAATCAAGTGCGTTTAAAAATACCCTTTCTATTTGTGCTCTGTTTCTTCTGGCGTCTGCGGGTTGTTTTCAAGCATTTCTTCACAAATGTGAGGGTGGGAAACACTTCTTTTAATGGAAAGCTGCAGTCTCCATTACTGATATGCTTTCAGGAGCTGGGACTGGAAGGGAAACCTGCATGTAGTAGGGTCAGGAGCGGCATCAGGGCTGGGTTTGCAGGCTGAGATGGGGCAGCCCTGGTGCTTCCTGATGAATGGAGAGCCGGGTGCTGTCCCCATTCCCCTCTGCACCTGGGAGCACGAGATTGTGGGGGTGTTCCTGGGTGTCCATCCTTGAGCTTCATCCCTGGGGGGGGGAAGCTGCTTGGCTGGGGGCTCTCTGCCCACGTGGCCCATTGGCAGCCTTGCTGCACGTGGTCATATGCCAGAAGAGGAGACCCCGGCACAGCACTGCCAGCACTGACCTATTTTCCTCTGTGTGCATTCTGGCACAGTGGCTGCGGGTGGAGGGTCAGTGCTGGGTCTGTCCAGGAATTAGGAGTCGCTGGGGTCACCTCTGGGGACAGATGAGTGCCCAGGAGCAAGTGACTTCTATTGTGGCACCAGGAGGTCCCCCAGAGCCCTTCCCCTTGGCATGGGAGTGCACAGCAGTGCTCTGCCTTACAGCACCATCCACTCTCTGTCGGGCTTCTGGAAGCTGAAAACCAGCATCCCAGCCCCTGGGGCAGGAGGAGTGCAGGGGGATGGAGCTGGGAGCAGAGAGATTTGGTGAGGGAGTGGTGGGGAGGCTCTGTCCTGTGTGGAAGCAGGAGGGGTGTCCCTTGGAAGGTCACGGCCGATGCAGTGCCTGGCGGGGTGCTGGGGACCCGCTGGGGCGAGACAGCAGCCTGTGCTGGGGAGGCTGGGCCAGCGTTGTCCTTGGATGCTCTTGAGCTGCACGTGACAGCTGCTGTCCCTGCTCTGCGCAGGGGGGCTGCGGGCAGCCGGGGGGAAATCCCACTGCTCCCAGTGCTGTGTCCCTTCCTGCTAGGAGCTTGGCCGCCTCCCAGTGCTGCCCTGAAACCCATCCCTCTGCCACAGCTGTGTGCATGGGAGCAAACCCAGGGCTTGGCATGGGGAAAGGGGAGTGCTGGTGAGGTCGTGGGCATGCTTTTGGGGCTGAGATGGCTCCTTGCAGCTCCTCACCATGGGGGCAGAGCTGCCGCCGTCACTGCTGACAGGGTGCAAATGCCTGGGCTCATCAGCAATGCAGTGCTAACAGGGCCCTGGAGGTGCGAGTGCCACCAGGGTGGTGCAAAGCAATCGCAGTGGCCCCACTCTTCCCTACCCCGATGGGGCCATGCAGAAACCTCAGTAGCAGTGCAATGCAGTAAAGCTTTCCTCCATGCGCTCTCCTCGCATTGTGGTGCTTTCACCCTCCTCTCTGCTCGCAGCCCTTCCCATTCCCAGCCGTAATCCAGTGCTGAAGGAAGCAGTGATGTCTGGCTTGATGGGGGTTGCCTTGCTCTGTGGCACAGAGCAGGTTTGGGCTGGCAGAGCCCCGGGATGCCGGGTGGAGGGAGGGAGGGAGGGACGGATGGATGCACGGCGCGGGTCTCTCACCGGTGCACACTTGTGCCAGAGCCAAAAATAGCCGGTGATGCTCGGCTCCCGCGGCGGGGAAGCGGTGATGTCATTCGCCGCCAATCACCGGCGGCCCCGAAGAGCAGCGCGGAGGAGTGGGAACGTGCCTCCCCGAGCATCCCTCCCCGAGCATCCCTCTCCGAGCTTACCCGGGAGCGGGCAGCAGCCATGGATGGGCGGCTGCCTGTAGGATCGAGGGGTCCCTGCTATGATGTGCTGGAGTCTGTGCTCATAGGTAGGGTTAAACCCCACATCTGTGCTTTTGGGAATCCCCAGCCTGCAGTGCTGCAGGAAGGCTGGTATGTGGAGCTGCTGCATAGCCCCACGCTGCATCAGGCCCCCCCCCATCCCTTCCGTACTGATTTTTTGGGGATTGTGGAGAGCTCTGGAAGCCCGTCTAGAGCAGTTCCCTTCCCACATGCTGGTTGTGCTGGTGCTTTCTCACCACAAAGGCATTGAGCTGCTGTTCTGCAGGGCTTACAGTGTGGGAAAGGCGAGCAGTAACTTGGGAGAGGGCACCTCCCTGCCCTGGGTGCCCGTCTCCCTTTGTGAATGCCGTGCTGAGGATGCTGATGAAAAGCATAGGATGATAACAGGCTGTCTCCAGGGTGGAGCAGCACCTTCATTGGGAGCAAAGAGGCTTTAATTGCTGCGGACAGGGTGAGGAGCAGGGTGCCAGGCCTGACCCACAGGTTGCAGCTGGGTTTCAAGCCTGGGGCTCTTGGTGACACCTGAGGATGGGGACTTGGCCACTCAGACTTGGCCATCCCAGGGCTGCGGGTGCTCAGTGCTGCTTGCTGAGCTCGCTTGGCTTCTGATTTTGGTGTGGTCCGACTCTTGGGGTTGGCGCGTGGCATCTCCATCCAGCCTCACTGTCAGCACAGTGGTGTGCAGCAGGGTTGAGCTTCCTGGTTCCCCATCCCAAAGTCTCCAATTCTGCCTTCATCCTCTTGCAGGTGCCCTCGGCTCAAGGGAGGAACCCGAGTTTGTGACCGCTCGCGCTGGCGAGAGCGTGATCCTGGGATGCGACGTCATCCACCCGCTGACGGGACAGCCGCCTCCCTATGTGGTGGAATGGTTCAAGTTCGGTGTCCCCATCCCCATCTTCATCAAGTTTGGGTTTTACCCTCCCCATGTCGACCCGGGGTATGCAGGTGAGGATGGGAGCTCGCCGTTTCCTCCGGGGTGCGTGTGGCTCCGCTCAATCTGCTCCTCCATCGGCAGCCGCGTGCGCTCTCTCTCTCATCGCTTTCTTTCCACCCAGTTGGTTTTAATTAAGCAGCAGCACTAGGAAGCCAGCTGGGCTGTGTGGGACGGGAGCAACCGAGGCAGAGAAACTCAGGGTGATGCGTGGTGGCAGCGGCTGCTGCTGCGCCCCAGAGCAGCTGTGATCCCGGGGAAGCTCAGGGGAGCGAGGCAGCAGTTCGGTCCCCTCTGGGGACATCTCCCTCCACTGGTGGCCAGGCATATGTGGCATTTCCAGCAGAGCCACGTGACTGCACACTGTTGTGTCACCTTTTCTGTGTGGCTGGAGGTGCTTCTGAAGGCTCAGATGGCACAGTGGGGGTGGACCCATCGCGATGCACCATCACCATGGGGACCTCGGGTATGCAGGAGGCTGAGGCGTCTCCTGTGAGGATGCATTGGTGGGGTTCAGCATGCTGGGGGCAATTAGAACGAGGTGGGAGGGTCTGGGGTCATAAAACTGACGGGCTGTGCTCTCCCCACAGGCAGGGCCAGCCTGCACGACAAGGCATCCCTGCGCATTGAGCAGGTGCGCTCCGAGGACCAGGGCTGGTATGAGTGCAAAGTGCTGATGCTGGACCAGCAGTACGACACCTTCCACAACGGCAGCTGGGTGCACCTGACGGTCAATGGTGAGTCCCAGCCAGCAGTGCAGTGTTGGGGTGTGGTGGTGCCACATCCAGCCCAGCGCTGCTCCTCTGTCTCAGCATGGAACCGTGGCATAGGATGCAGCAGGAGGTTGCATGCTTGGGGAACACAGCTGTGCTGGGAGCATGGTGTGCATGAGTGGACAGAGGTGGTGATGGGATAGAGGTGTGTGTGCTTTGGGTGTTGCGTGCACCAGGAGGACAGGGTCGCTGTTGCACTGAGATGTGGGGTCAAAACCAGTCTCTGTCTGTCTGTCACCTCCCTCCACGTGAATCCCTGCAGCACTAGAGTCAGTGTTTCAGGCTGGGCTGCAGGGTGTGATTCTGTGCATGGCTTTGTAGTTCTGATAGGTGACAGTGATGGACAGCCACCCTCCAGATTTGGCAAAGCCTGAGTGTGCAGGCTGCTGGGGCTGGCACTTGGCAGAGGGCAATGGGGCAGGTGCCCAACCCCGGGGAGCTGCAGATGGCCTGGGCAGCAATGCCAGGAGCAGGGGCCAGGTTCCTGTCAAAGCCACGCATTGAGGCTGTTCTGCAGGATGATGCTTTGACCCGGGAGGGCAGAGGGCTCAGGTGTGGCCGTGCCAGATGCAGAGTTGCTGTGGGGCTGGGCCGGGCTCCCTTTGATGCTGGACTTAGATCCTGTCTGCATCTTTAACCGACAAAAAAAACCGTCCAGACTGACTTCAAGCAGGGACATCGCTCGCAACAGGGACAAACTTTTATTACTATTCACACCATTTAATTACACAATGCTTGTTGAAAGGCGAGACATGAAGAAGACAGGGCAGGGCCCGCATCTCTTCACAGACAAATCAGAAAACCAAATCTTTGTTTTCTTGAAATTCAGATTGACTCCAATGACTTTTCCCCCCTCCCCCCGCCCCCCCCCCCTTTCCATTTTATTAGTGCTGAGTGTTCAACTAATTAGCAATTTGTCGTTTTCCACGTCAGGAGCCGTCTTTATTTTTAGCTCTGGGAGGCAGGACGCTGTGCTGCAGAGGGGCTGAGGCTCCTGCCTGACCTTGAGCCACTTATGGCACCTCCAGGAGGGCCGTGGCACGGTGCAGAGCTGCCTAATTGAGCCCAATTAACGAGCAGGAGCAGGGCATGGGGCGCGGTGGTTGTGTCCCTGCCCGCTGCCTCCTTCCATCCATGCGATGCGGGATGAGCTGCTGTCCTCTAATGAGCTCGGGGAGGCTGGGAAGGAAGGAGGGAGGGAGGAGGAGGAGGAGGAGCGCAGGGTGAGATGGGAGGAAGGCGTGTGCAATGGCTGGTGGAGCTCAGGCTGTGCGGGGATGCAGGAGGAGGATGGTGTGTGCTCCATCTGCACCATGCAGCGTGCACGGACCCTGTAAAGCACTTGGGAAATGCCATTGGGCTGTGCCTCAACTCCCAGCTGAACTGGCTGGTCACCACCTGCTGGTGTGAGCCCATTTCCCAGCACAGAGGGCACTGGGGTGAATGGGAGCTGCTGGGTGCTGCCAGCACGCTGTGGGGCTGAGCAGGGCGAGGTGACCCCATGTGCTTTCCCCATCCTTGTGCTGCTCTTCGTGTTTTCTGCAGCACAGGGCCCTAATAACAAAATAATAACTGTAATTCTGCAGGGTCGAGGAGCTGCTTTCAGGGGGAGGGCCGTGGCTTTCACCCTGCACATTAGAATGCTTAATTTTCATTGGGGAAGATAGAAATAAAATATAATTCTTTTCTTTTTTTCTTTTTTTTTTTTTTTCCCCCCAAGCAGATTAAATTGCCAACCTGTCTTCCTCAAAAGTGGGCTTTAACAACTGCTGGTAATTAGGGGCGGGCTGTAATCCTGCCAACCTCTTTAGTCAGAAAGGAGTCTTTCGATCTGCACTGCGGTGTTTTCTTCTGTTTTGACAATAGCGAGTTAATGCGTGATGGGAAGTGAGGGGGAAAGCTGTGCTGTGCTGGGGAGGAGAGAGTGCCATGGGGTGCACTCGGAGGGATTCTGGCCTTCCATGTAGTGCTGTGACATTGCTGTCCTTGCAGCTTCAGCCCTGTTAGCCTTTGGGTGCTGCCTGCCCCTTTCCTGAGGAGAAAGGGTTCACAGGGTGTCCCCACCTCTGTCCCTGTGCCTCTGCATGACAGTGTGGGATGGGGAGGGTGACAGCACTCTGCTCCCTCCCCAGCACCCCCCACCTTCACGGAGACACCACCGCAGTACGTGGAGGCAAAGGAGGGCAGCAGCATCACCCTGACCTGCATGGCATTCGGCAACCCCAAGCCCATCGTCACCTGGCTGCGAGAGGGCGAGCTGCTGGCCGCTGGCCCCAAGTACCAGGTGGGTGCCATGAGGATCCCCACCACGTGTCCCTGCAGCAGAGATGAGATGGATGATAGTGCATGCGGTGGCTGGAGCCAGTCTTGCTGTCTCAGCACATTTCCCTGCTTCCCAGCAGTGGGAATGGGGGTGGGGGGGTTGTGATGCCTGGGCTGCTGGGGGCTGTGCTGCTCCCTTTCCCCAGGAGAGGGTGAGGGCTGGGACCTGGGGACGTGGTGGCTGCAATGGGGTGAAATCAAATGATTTGTGCAGGGGGGGCTCCCCCAGCCCTGTTTCCCATCCCATAGGCTCCCACTCCTCTCCCGGGCAGAGATTCCATCCGAGCCATAATTGGTAAATCAGGCATTGGAATCAGCGCAGGCACTAATGAGAGTAATTAGGAATCATTTGTTACTAATTGAAATAGAAGGATGAGGCAGAATGAGCGGCGGGGAGGGAGGCTGCCTGGGAGCGCGGCGCTCGCTGGCGGGGGGGATGCTGCAGCCTATGGGGGTGAAAGTCCCCATCCATCCTCTGCACATCCTCAGCCAGGCCACGGCTGCCAGGCAGCGCCAGGGGCAGGAGGCTGGGGGTCACGGCTGCACTGTGACCATTGAGAAGGGTGGGGGGAGGAATGGGAAGCTTCTCATGGTCCCACAGCCTGCAGGGACGCCGAGCAGTGCCCCCAGGACTGGGATGCCCACTGAGCTCCGTGCAGAGTGCAGCACTGTTGTTGGGAAATGCTTGGCAGGAGTGGAGCAGTTTAGAGTCTGCTGTGCGTCAATCACTCCTGCAAGAGATGAATACATTGTGAGAGATGAATACATTGCAAGGCTTTTTTTTTTCTTTTTTTTTTTATTATTATTTTTTCCCCCTTGGCGTCGAGCAGAGACGTGTGTGTTGGTTTATTAATATCTTGCAGAGCGGGGAAACCCATTTCTCAGCCAGCTCTACCGGCAGCCTCAAATCCCATCCATTGCCCTCTTGTTGGCTTTGGGGGTGCAGGGGGAGAGTGAGCATCCTGCTGGTGGGCTCTGTGTGGTCCCCACATCCTCTGTGATCCCCTCTGGTTGCCCACAGGTCAGTGATGGCAGCCTGACGGTGCTTTCTGTCAGTCGGGAGGACAGAGGTGCCTACACCTGCCGGGCATACAGCATCCAGGGGGAGGCTGTGCACACCACACGTCTGCTGGTCCAAGGTGAGTGTCCTCGGGGTCCCCAGGAGGCTTTGGGAGCTGGGACATCTCTGTGTGTCCCCAGTTGTCCCTGGGAAGATCCCAGCCCTGTCCCCATGGTATGGCAAGGACCAGGGTTGGTCGGTGGCACAGCTTGGCCACAGCACGCTGCCACCCCCTACCTGCAGCCTTCCATTAAAAACACCATCAATAAATAAACAAAGGAGGAAGTGGAGCCCAAACCCCAGGCATATAAATGATATTGGGGCTGCCAACTCATTGGTGGCATGGAGAGCAGGTTAGGGTCAGGCTGGGATCGCGGGCAGCACCAATATGTACCTCCTCCCCTATGCATTGCACTGGGAGATTTTTTGGGTTTGGGTTGGGGTCCTATTAACACCAGGGCTGATGTGAATTGCCAGTGAGGATCTGCATCCGTTTGTAGGACAGAAATCCATTTAATTGGGGCACTCCAGTGGCCACCCTGTCATCTCAATGAAGCAGATGTGCCGATTAGCAGCCGGGCCCTGATTGCAGCTCGGTTTTGTTTGGAAAGCAGGGAAAGATTGAGAATGTCACAGAGCACCTTGTCAGAGAGCAGTGATACATGGCCTGCCTCCTGCTCCTCTTTATTAGTTAAGTCTTTAATTAGGTCAACAGCTTTTGGCAGAGAGAGGAGCTGGGGGGTCCTGGCGTGGACAGGAGGATGTGTTTGCAGGGAGACCGGCTCCAGCTTGGTCCCTATGGGGGTGATGGAGACCGGCCCCAGCCTGGTCCCATAGGGGTGATGCTCTCCTCCCCCAGGACCTCCCTTCATCGTTTCCCCTCCGGAGAACATCACAGTGAACATCTCTCAGGATGCACTGTTCACCTGCCAGGCCGAGGCGTACCCCGGGAACCTCACCTACCTGTGGTACTGGGAGGAAGAGAATGTCTACTTCAAGAAGTGAGTTTGCAACGCATCCCACGCTGGCGCTCTCTTTGCTCCCTCACTCCTGGCATCGCCGTTTCCATCCGTGCTCCTCCTGCAGCTTTTCTCCCCTCTCTTCTCTTGCAGTGACCTGAAGCTGAGGGTGCGGATCCTGATTGATGGCACGCTGATCATTTTCCGGGTGAAGCCAGAAGATGCTGGAAAATACACCTGTATCCCCAGCAACAGCCTGGGCCGCTCGCCGTCTGCCTCCGCCTACCTGACGGTGCAGTGTGAGTGCAGTGAGCCCTAAGGGATGCTGTGAGGTGCCTGCTCCCTGCTGTGCATGGGGGGGGGTGTCCCCAGGGTGCCCATGCTCCAAATCTTGCACCATTAGGGCTGGTCTTATGCTTCTGCACAAGGCTGAGAGCATCTCTGTGTGCTGGTGGGGTGTCCTGGGTGCCACCCCTAAGTGGGATCAGTGCTTGCCTTCCTGAAAAGTGGCTTATCTCCTCTTGCTGCTGCTCCCGTGGGTGCTCCCGATTGCTGTTCTCATTGCTTGGGCACAGAAACACCAAATCAGGGCTTTTAACACCAAATACCCGCTTGTATTTTCTAAGTATTTATCATAGGTTGCGTGGATTTCTGTGAATTTGTAGCTGTGCATGGAGTAGTTTCAGGCAGTAACTGATCTAAACAAACGCAGAACAGCTCTGAAAGGAGCATTGCTGCCCACGCCTGTTCTTTCAGACTCCCCCTGCTTTAATGGGTAGTGTGCCACGAGCGTCCTATGGCATTTGACAGTAATGGTCCAAATTGCTACGCTTTGCAATTGTGGTATTGCTCTGCTGTAAAAGACTGTAGCGATTTTATTCTATAATGAAAGATAGGCTCGAGCAAGCTGGGCTTGAAGCACGGTTCCCAATGGCCTTACAGCTTGTGTCTGCAGCCCCACTGCTGGTAAATGCCCTGCCATGGGAGAGCCCGATGCGTGCTGCCGTATGGCATGCCCAGAGGAGCAGGGTGCACACAGAGCTGGCACAGGGCTTGTGCTGACCCAGACTGGAGCACAGCCAGCGCCTGGCAGAGCCTCTCGATCCCATTACTGTCTCCAACCCCTTGATTGCATTTCTGAAGAGGTCAAGTTAAAGGCGGGGGGATAAAGCGGGTCCCATATGCACTGCTGTGTAAGCTGGGTTATTGTGGCAGTGCCTGGTTTTGGGGAGCTCTCATGTGCGCAGCTCTGTGCTGCTGGGGTTGTTTGCACCCGAGCTTGGTTCCTTTTGCCCTAAGAAAGCAGCAATGAGAAGGATCTGGATTCTCGTGCCAGGCTTTGGCTCTGCACGTTTTGCCCACTTTGCATTTCTGCACCCCAAAAATGATTTCGTCTCTTCATGCAGCGTAAGCCCTGCTAGGATTTTCCCGTAACCTCGTGCTGCTGCTGTCTAGACAAGATTGTAGAAATACTCGCTCTTCCTATTAAAGTAACTTCTTTTTTTTTTTTTTTTAAAAAAAAGCTTCTTATTAAAGAAAGTCTAGGTTCTCTCCAACCCACTCGCACTTAATTAAAAAGCTCTTAGAAGTGCTGTTAATGACACGTTCTAGACTCGAGGATTGCGAGACGCCTTCCCGTGTGGGTGGTGAAACGTGGGGAGGTTGGAGGCATATTTTAAGCGTTTGCATCCCATTTGGAAGGGTGGAGGTGGCTGATTTTTCCACGCAAGCCAGCAGCAATTAGGCACAGGCTGTGAGTGCAAACAAACAGGAGGTAAACAGCCCTGGACAGAAGGTCTGTGCTGTGCTCCGGGGTGCTGCACTTGGTGTGGTTAAAGGTTCTGGAGTTGTTGTGCTGGAGTTGTTTCCTATATAAACAGCAGGAATGGTGTTGTCCCCTTGGCAGATGCCTGCAGACTTGCCTGCAGCCTTTTCCTCTTGGCGTGCAAAGTGAGCTGTAGGGAGGGTGGGTGCCTTGCTTGATGCATGTGTCACCTTGTGTGTGTCCTGCAGGCTGAGGCTGTGCTGATGGAGCAAGTCGGTCTGGATGTGCCAAGCAGATGCATTTAGCATTTCGTTTTAGATGCAGCTTTTAATGAGCTCCAGGTAGGAGCGCTCTGGGTGCAAGCAAAGCCTCACAGAAATGCTGGGTATTAGAATGGATTTTGAGTGTGTAGCAAGCCTGGAGATAACAGCTTGTGGGAGCTGGAGGGAGCATTTGGGTTTTGTACTCATCACAAAAGCAGTGTGATCCTCAAGAGCTGGGTGGTGGCTGGGCTGATGGGCTCCTTCCCAACACTGACGCGCTGCTGCTGCTATCCCAGATCCTGCCCGTGTGGTGAACATGCCCCCCATCATCTACATTCCCATCGGGATCCACGGTTACATCCGCTGCCCCGTGGAGGCAGAGCCCCCGGTCACGCTGGTCAAGTGGAACAAGGATGGCCGACCCCTGCGCATCGAGAAGGTGAGCAGCCAGGGAAGGGTGGCAGGGAACAGGGTGGCTGCTGTCCCTGCATGGCGTGTCCTTGCCTTGGACAGGATGGATGGTGCTGCTTTACCTTATCAGCAGCTTTGCTCTGAGTTAATTCAGGTGCCTGCAGACGTGCTGTCTGTCTCCCAGCCCTCTCCAATGACCTTTTGATGGCTCTGTGTTCTTCCAAGGGCAGCTAATGGTTAAAAGACCCTTTTAACAAGTCTCCGTCATCCTTTAATCATTGTTTGATGTTCTGAGCCATTAAATATTTAAGGAAAACACTTCGTGTTTTAATTTTTTTTTGTTTAAATATTAACGATTGGATGTTTTTATTTGGTTTAAGCTCGCTGTTGATGTGGGCTCCTTGGTGCCACCAGTCTTTGGTGTCCCTATTGCTTAGCTGCATTTCCCTCTGGTGGGGACACAGGAGCCTGAGTGGAGACTCCTGGTCTCCCCATTTAACAAAAGGCTGGGAGCTGGGTCCTGGAATGACTCCAGCCTGTGACACAGGAGGCTTTCTGTTTAATAAATGCCCAACAAGAGAGTGCTCAAAGGAAAAGGCAACCTCAGTGCCTGTAGGCACATGTTTGACAATAGTTGGAATGGACCTACGAAGATCACTGAGCCTGTCTGTTTCATCTGGGGTATGACAGGCTGTCCGTGAGTCCTTTGGGTTACTTGAAGAAGCCTGATTGTCTGGGAGGGGGAGAGCAGCAACGAGATAAATATGTGTCATCTGTGTGCTCAGAGCTGGAAATCCTTCCCAGGGAAGGACAGGGAGCAGCGAGATGCTGGCAGGGATTCAGACTCCGTGGGTAGGATTTGTCTCACCTAATTTTAGGTGTCTCCAGGGCTGTTGGCTGTGTTGAGGACTACTCACCCAGGCTGCTCTCGTAGTCCTCAGAGAGAGAAGCGCTTCCAGGAGACAGCTTTTCTTTGATTGAGCTGAGGCATCCACGGCTGCAAGGGGTGAATCACACCCTGGGATGTGTGCGTATAGAGAAGGGCAACGAAGCTGTGAAGGATCTGGTTTGGGTATTAGGAAGCATTTCTCATCGAAAGGAGCGATGCTGCACTGCACAGCTGCCCAGGGAGCGGTGGCCTCAATGTCCTTGGAGATGTTCCAGAGCTGTGGGGCACTGAGAGACGTGGTCAGTGGCGTGGTGGGATGAGTAGGCTTGGGGAGCTGAGAGGTCTTTTCCAACCTGAGTGATTCTAAGACCTAGTGATTTCATTAGCTAGAAAAGAGGGCTAGAGCAAGGCTGAGATGGGGGTTTCCTCGCAGTGAGAGGACTGTGTGCAGACAAGCTGATCTTGCCTGCGTTTCCTCTCTCTGCAGTTGAGGAGGTGGCTTGGAGATGGGTTGGACTTTGGGAATGGAACTGGACGCTTGAAAGTGATTTGGGAATCTCCAGGAGACACACCAGGCACCCCTGGGCTTAGGTGTTGGGCTTGGCTGAAGGGAAACATAAGCAGTTGTGTGCGTAGGATGCATCAAACCCCTCTTTCTCACCACCACAGTACTCTGGCTGGAACCTGCTGGAAGATGGGTCGATCCGAATTGAGGAGGCAACCGAAGATGCTCTCGGCACTTACACCTGTGTGCCTTATAACGCCCTGGGTACGATGGGCCAGTCTCCCCCTGCCCGACTGGTACTGAAGGTAATGTGCATAGTGCAGCCCTGGCCCTGCAGCCAGCACTTTGGCTGGGTGTGGGATGCTGGGCACTGCTGGGTGCCTGCTGATGTGTCTGCTTTTCCACCTGTGTGACTCAGCTTGCTCAAACCTATTGCCTTTTGCTGTGAGCTTTCTTCCTTACCTGAGAAAGGCGAGGGCAGGACCTCATAAGCACTCATGCAATGAGGGTGACAGCAAAACCCATTCTGAGTGCTCCCTGCCTACTGCAGCTGGAAATACCACTGTGCAGCTGCAATTTTGGCACAAGATTGGGCAAAGCCTGCTGCTGTCTTTGTTGTTGGCATGCACAAAGCCTGTGCTGCTGCATTGCCACTGCTATTTTAGGCTGTGCTGGAGCTGGCAAGGTGAGCTGGGGATGCCTACCTGTGCTGCTAAGCACCTTCAAATGCCAAATAGGCATTGCCAACACTCATCCATCAAGCATTCTTTAAGTTTGCAGCCATGCAGCAGGACTTGGGCAATGCTCAACCGCTCTGCAAGTTTGCTGCAGAAATTACAAGAGTTCAGTGCAAAGAAATGCTGAAGTCTGACTGCAGTGATTTGTTAATGGGTGTAGATTAGTGGGGCAGCCCAGGCCCAAATATGTGTTGGTGCCTAGCACTGAGTTTTAACAGTGCTGGACCGGGATAAGTTGAGCACTTCATTCATGGCCCTGAGAGGGGCCATTTTTGCCAACGGAAGATTCAGACTTGCTGACCCAGCTTTAGATTTGCAGAGAATTTTAATGAAAAGCTGATTTAAGCTGTAGAGAAGCTCCACGTGCTTCTGCTGCGTGCTCAGCCCAATGCACGCCGGGCTCTGCTGGAGTCACCAGTGCTGCTGGGATAGGAGCTGCTGCTCTTTGTTCTCTGAACAAAAAGACACATGCCTGCAAACGGTGGTGGTGAGTTGTGTTATTGCTAAGGCTCATGCAATGCAGCTTAGCAAACCTCGTGTGTACGCACATCCAGCGAGATGGTTGTGGAGCTGATGAAATCAGGCTGATACCTGATGTGACGTGGGTGGTTTTTTCCTGTTTGCCTCCTTAAAATTTAAACAAGGCATCATAGCACTGTGTCTTTTCAGAGAAAACTTCTGTGTGTGTGTGTGTAATTTAGTGTACCATAAAGCCTCCTCAGCACACGCTTTCTGCTGCCTTCACCTCATCCAAACTGCTGATGGTTCTCGTTCTGGGAGGGTTTGATGGCACAGGGCTGCTGACATGTGGCAGTTCTTTGTGTGGGCTCAAGCTCCTTGCCTTTTCCCTTGGCTGCAGGACCCCCCCTATTTCACGGTGCTACCAGGCTGGGAGTACAGACAGGAGGCAGGGAGGGAGCTGTTGATTCCTTGTGCTGCTGCGGGAGACCCCTTTCCTATCATCGCCTGGAGAAAGGTACCCGGCCTGCCAGACAAATCTGCAGTGCCTTTGGCTTTTGGTGAATATTGCAGACAGAGAAGCCACACTCTGTCCCGGTAAGAACAAACTGCAGGTACAGCTGCTTCGCTTTGGGCTGAGCCACTGCCGTCCTGTCCCGCAGGTGGGTGGGGGAAGCCCAGCTTGTGGCCATCAAGTACTTAATACTGGGAAACCTTCTCAGCAGCATCTGCAAAGCTGAGCTCTGCTCCCACCCCGGCTCCCTGTTCCTCGCTGATGCTGCTCTCAGGACCCTCCCGGCCCAACATGAGGCTGGCATCGGTGACACTGATCCTGCAGCACAGACCTCCTGCAGCAGGAGGGGATTGTGCCACCACAGCGGGTCCGGGGGCTCTGCCCTGGGCTTGGCTAAGTTTTGGCAAGGGCCTGGACCCACCAGTGGCTGCTTTGCTGCCCTGGGAGTTGGAAGACCGTGGAAAGTAGCTTGTTTTGATCCTGCTGGACTGGACGTGGCAATCTGAGGATGTTCCCTTTTGCAGGGCCAGGTGTGATGTCACCAGGGCTTTCCTGTGTCCCTTTCCCTTTGCTTCCCAACTTTGCTGCTCCCGTAGGGAAGTCACTGCCCAGCTGACAGGATCATCTCCTGTCCCCTCCCAGCCCTTCTCAGGGGGATCCCTTCATTGCCCTATGAGTGAGATGCTGGATCTATTCACCAAGTTACACCAGCACTAGGAGGACTGTAACTTGTACTGCTTTTGAGGGGCCTACCTAAAACTTGCTGGCTCTTTAGTCATCTTATCCAACTTATTTTATCTTCCTTCCCCATCCCCTTCTTATTTAGGTTTATTTCAAAATACTTCTGTGCTTTCTGACCCTCTTCCTCACAATGCAACTTTGGGCTTTTCCTCCCCTGACATCATCTAGGACTGAATTGGGCTGAGCAGAGGTTCTCAGTGAAAGAAGTAAGCTCTCTTGCTGCCCACCAGCCCTTGAGGGCTGACCTCCTTCTCCTGGAGGACTGCAGAAGACCTGGGCTGGGCACTAGTAACCCGCCATGCTCCTGCTGCAGGTCCCTGGAGCCCATCAGTGGGATCCATGCATGAAGAATAGCAGAAGAGAGCTCAGAGCAACATGGGATTTGTGGAGCTTTGGATAATGGGCATAAACACAAGTTGTTTGAAGAGGCATCCTTCCGCTTGGCTTGAGAGCTGCCAGGCACCTCCATGCACGCCATCCTCCCATGTCCCCAGGCTGCCTTCTGCTGAAGTCTCTGCCACTGGCTGGGACTGAGTGGAGCAGGAGAGGCTGCTGTGAATCTCCTGGGGCAGACACCCACCTCAGAGAGTGTTTGTGGGGACACTCAGTGCCTCATCCTCCACAGCAGTGACAATTTCAGCTTCGGATGCTGGAGGAGCCACGCTGAGTTCTTGTGAAGGGTTCGGTGTCTGTAAGACTTGTTTTCAGGCCTTTAGACTTACGTATGAGTTGGGAATATCAGCCTCTGTTTTGCGTGTCTCCTGAGTTACTGAGCCAGGTCGTATTGAAAGCAGGGAGACTGCAGCAAGCAGAGAGATGGGAGCCCTCGCTAGCGCCTGGTGGTGCCCCATAGGCCTTGCAGATAGCTCAGTCGTCGCATTGCTGCCTTGCCTGGCTTGACGTGCTTCTGAATCGTGGTTTTCTCTCTTTGCCATGCTCCCCTTGCTCCTTGCCCAAGGTAGGGAAGCCCAGCAGGAGCAAGCACAACACGCTGCCCGGCGGCACCCTGCAGATCCGCTCCCTTGGCAAGGACGACCATGGCGAGTGGGAGTGCATCGCCACCAACGTCGTCGCAAGCATTACTGCCAGCACTCACCTTACAGTTGTAGGTAGGGGCAGGGGATGGGGCCTCGGGGATGGCTGGTGGCACAGGGACACGTTCCTGGGGTGCGCCCAGCAGCGTGCTGAGCGTGGCACGGGATGCTTCCCATGGAAAGCGATGTCTCCCTTTAATTCCAGCTGCCAGTGGTGCTGTGTTTTCTGCTCTTTTATTTTGGCCACATGCTGCTGGTATTTCTAGCAGACATTCTAGATAGGAAAGCCTTTGCTTTGTGCAGGCGGAGTCTCTTTGTGTCATGGCTGGAAGCAAATCCACACCAGGAGCAGTGGGCTGTGTTAGTGCTGGGAATTGCAGCCGTGCCACTGCTCCTGCTGCAGCCCATCTCTCTCCCTGCAGGCACAAGCCCTCATGCCCCTACCAGCGTGCATGTTGTGGTTGCCATGACCTCTGCCAATGTCTCCTGGGAGCCCGGCTACGACGGTGGATATGAGCAGACTTTCTCAGTTTGGTACGGCCCTCTGTGAGTCATCCTGGCATGCTTTGCTCTCTGCTTCTTTTTCTTCCTAGCTGAGCCCAGCTTTGAGCAGCGGGGCTGTGGTAGAAGCCCTCATGCCCCTA